AGTTCCAAGGGCTAACGACAGTGGCTCACTTTCCTGCCAGCGCTGACCGACCGTGTGTGGGGACCGGGGACTGATGGCCGGGTGCAGAGGGAGCCTGGGGGAAAGGCGGAGCAGAGGAGAAATGCCTGTGTCTGCTGCCCTGTCCTACGTGGTGGCCACTAGCAACGTGCAGCCTTTGCAATTTAAACATGAGTGAAGTAAAACGTAAGACTCAGCTCCTCTCTGTGCTCGCCCTGCCTGAGCCCTCCCAGGCTTGTGGCTGGTGGGAGCTCTGACGACAGAACTCCATGGACGCGGAGAAAGGTCTGGAGCCTGGACTCATTGCTTCCAGAAGCGTTCTCTGTAGTCCTTCCTTAGTTCCAGAGTTCTAAAATAGATTTCACGATTAGGGTTAATGTTCAAAATAACACACGGGACTTCAAAGGAATTTTTTACTTATCTGGTTCCCTTAGACCCATGCATATATCCACTTACCTTCTGCTATTAAAGATCAGTTAGTAGAAAATTTTTTTAAAAATTCTCTTTATAGGATGCAGTAAATTTTTAAGAACCAGTTCTGCTTTTTGATTTGCATCATGATTATCTTTGGTATCCTAGGAGTAAATCCTGTTTTTTCAGTATGCTGGAAGACCTCATTACATTGGCATTTTTAATTTATTTATATAAGAATCATCGTTTCCATTGGCAGTAAATGCCTGGCTCAAAACTTCTGAGCTAAAGCTTCTTTTAAAAAAATAAAATAAAAACTCTGACTTTAGAGACTTCTTCTGGAATTTTTTTTGTTTTAATCCTCACCCAAGGATATTTTTATATTTATCTTCGGATAGAGTGGGAGGGAAAAAGAGGGAGAGAGAGAAACATTGACGTGATAGGGACACATCGACTGGTCGCCTCCCGCCCGACCCCGACCCGGGCTGCGGCGAACGGAGGTACATGCCCTTGGCCGGAATTGAACCCGAGACTCATTGGTCTGCGGGCCAACGCTCTACTGCTGAGCCAAATTGGCCAGGGCTGGAATTTTTTTTTTATTGATGGGGTGAGTGCTGGTTTATAAAGTGGTGTTACAAAACTTGTCACGGATTTATCGTGTTTCCATAATATGCATGTTGTGGTCAAGCTGGGTAAGGAACACACCAAAGCAAAATAGCCCAGAAGCCCGAGACTCCTGCAGTCTGTGTGCGTGCGTTCATCAGGACGAACACTAGGTGGCAGTGTTGTAGTTTTGACGCGTCTCCAGCGGCTAGTAAAGACTCTGCTTTTCGTCCCTGATCTTCTTGAGTGACAAACGTCTAAGCCGTCATGCCTCTTTACGTTTAGAGAAATGCTTACTGGAAGAAGCGCTTTTCAAAGAATTGCGCTTTTGTTAGTACCTGTGCAGTGCTACGACCCTGTGGAATACTTTAATACACTTATTTTTCAGCTGACTACATGCCCCAAACTTTGTTTCCCAATGTACTTTCCAGGGATCACTGATCGCAGGAAGGTGCTTCTGGGGGAAACTCTGGCTCTGGAATGGGCATATAGTAGACACATGTTTGCCGGATGGAATGGTGGTGCTGTCAGCTTCTGTTTGGCGGAATTTAGATACTTTTTTTTAATGTTATGGGCATGTCAGAGCTTCAAGCCATATGCCCTCAGTTTCCTTAAATTTACTTATCATACAGGATACAGAGAGAAGGCTTCAAACTAAATATGTATGTGGCAAATAACTTTTTAAAAAGTTTATTTGTCCTTATTAAGAAATATGCAGCACATTAAGGTAGAATTATTAGGGATTTCTTGCTTTTATCAGTTCCTTTAATAGTTTTGATACCACTGACATACTTCATGTTATAAGATAGTGCTTTTTAAAAATGTGTTTTGTTTTTTGTGTTTAACTCAAGTTTATGTCATGTTCTGTTACTTTTTTGAAGATACTTCCTTTTTACCCATATGCTTGAGGTTTGGTTTTATATATGTATAAACTATTTTGTGATGTTAAAAAATTTTTTTGAACCCTGGCCAGTTTGGCTCAGTGATTGGAGCGTTGGCCTGTGGTCCAGAGAGACCCGGGTTTGGTTCCCAGTAGGGGCATGTACCTTGGTTGCAGTTTGTCCCCGGCCCTGGTTGGGTCGTGCGGGAGGCAACCACTCGATGTGTCCCTTTCATGTCGATCTTTCTCTTTCTCTCTCTCTCTCTCCCTCTCTTTTTCTCTCCCTCTCTCCTTCTCTCTCCCTCCCACTCTATCTGAACAAAAACTGAAAAAAATGTCCTCGGGTGAGGAAAAAAATTTTTTTTTTAGTAATATATCAAATATCTAGGTTTTACATCCTTTTCATTTCATGAATTTGCAGCCCTTATAAAGGTATTGTGCAGAAGTAATGCTAACAGTGTGTGTATTATGACGACTAGCTGAAAGATAAGCTGTTTCCAGCATTTCTCTAATGTATTTTTAATTGAATTTATTGGGGTGACATTGGTTAATACAATTATATGGGTTTCAGGTGTGCAGTTCTATATACATCATCTGTATATCGTATTGTGTGTTCACTCTAGGTCTCCCATCACCATTTATTTATCCCGCTGCTGTTGTCTGTGTCTGGGAGTTTTTTTGTCTTTGTTTGCTTAACCCTTTCACCTTTTTTATTCAGCCCCCAACCACCCCTCTGACACCTGTTGTCTGTTCTCTGTGAGTCTGTTCTGTTCGTTTATATTGTTCGTTAGATATTACATGCAGATTGGTGCAGCAACTGGAGAAAGCAGTATAGTGTAACCTCAAAAAACTAAAAATGGAACTTGCCCTGGCTGGTTTGGCTGTGCAGTTAGAGCATCGGCTTGTGGATTGAAGGGTCATGGGTTCGATTCCCAGTCAAGGGCACATACCTAAGTTGCAGGTTTGATCCCCAGCCCCAGGTGGGGTCACTTGGGAGGTGACCAATTGATGTGTCTCTCTCACGTCAATGGTTCTCTCTCTTCCCTCCTCCCTCCCGGTCACTCTATCTAAAAATCAATGGAAAGATATCCTCGAGTGAGGATTAACAAAAAATATATATATAAAAAAATAAAAATGGACCTGCCTTATTACCCAGCAATTCCACTTCTGGGAATATATCTGAAGAAACCTGAAACACTAATTAGAAAGAATATTTGCACCCCTGTGTTCATTGCAGCAGTATTTATAGTAGCCAGGATTTGGAAGCAGCCCAAGTGTCCATCAGTAGATGAGTGGATTAAACATAAATAAATAAACCTGGTACATTCACAGAATGAGATACTTCTTGGTCGTAAAAAAGAAGGAAATCTTTCCTTTGCGTCGGCGTGGATGGCCCTGGAGAGCATTATGCTAGGTGCGATAAGCCAGTTGGAGAAAGACCAGCATTCGCTCTTAATTCGTGGCTTAAAGTCCAGAAACCAGAGAGGCCCCCTCGAACGCGAGCAGCTGCCCTGCCTTCTCCTCCTTTCACTTCGCCCTGGCAGTGAGTTCTTGCTTCTCAAGGCTGGACGGCCCTTTAAAAGCGAAATGTGCACATTAGCCGAAATCATTTAGAAGAAGTGGGGCTTGGAGTCGAAGAGTAGGTGCGTAGTTTTGAGTGGTCAGTGGACTCGTTGGGGTGCGGTAGGGCGCCCAGCCCTGGGAGGGGGAGGGGGCTCAGCGCGGACTCCGGAAATGCTGCGCTTTGGGCTGGGGTTGCGTTCCAGTCCTGTAGGCTCAGGTGGAGTTTCTGACCTTTAAGATTTTACCTAAATCACCAATGTTGTTATTTAGCAGAGATATTTTAATATAAAAGATGGAAAGTAATGGCATTCTCTGTGTTAATTCTGAGACTCGGCGGTCTCATGATTTGACCGAGGAAAGCGCACGTTCCCCAAAGATGGCAGTTGTGGGTGTGTGGCTGAGGTTTCTGCATGCTGGCCCCCTCGGCCTTCTTTGTGCGCTCTGCTGCTTGTTAAGAACATTCCACATCTCTGCTGTAGGTGCTTTTCTCCCTCGAAGCATTTCCTGGTAAGTTCCACAGGTCTGAGAACCAGCAAGCGCCCAGAGGCTGAGGTTCTAAGACGCACGGCCCGCGCCGCCCGCTCTCCCCGCGGGGCCCCGAGCCCCGGACGCACTGCCCACACCGCCCACACCGCCCGCTCTTCGTGCCGGGCCCCGAGCCTCGGACACCAAGTGCCCGGAGCTTCTCAACAAGTTGGTGTCCAGACAAGGCAGCCGATGAGTCTTTCTGCCAGTCCTCAGAGCCAGCGCCTGATGCACTAGTTTGCGGCTCACCTGTGTGTGCATGTTGGGTGGGATTGCAGGATGACATTCAAGCAGTCACTGTGTGTCTTCAGCTCCCAGTTTGGTAGTCTCACTCGGTCGCTCAGCAGTGCGACTGAATCTTAGTATCTTGGGTACACATCACTTCATTCGATTGTTTTTTAAAAATGTTTAAAAAGCCAATTTTATAGTTATTTGCAAATTCTTTGAAAGGAGGCTGAGGCTGGTTTTTTGGGTTTTTCTGCACACAAATTTAGAATCTTAAGTATGTGGACAAATCCCTTAGAAGTTTTCTGACTTCTCTGTACCTTGGAAACTCGGCGCCATTTTCTTGGTAACGTAGTTCGTTACTTGTTTATGAAATACTCTTCACTGATCTCGTCAAGTACTTGGATGCACAGTGAAGGCCCATGGACTTGGTTGTCTCTGCACTGGCCCATGTCAGCCTCTGTCCCTCCTAGACTGCAGGGGTGGGGGTGTTGGGTTTCTTTTTTCTTTTGTGCTGCCTGGGTCCTGGGTGCTGAGGACACCATAGCCTCCCCGCCAACACGGCTGAGCCAGGTCTCTGGAAGCTGGTGGCAGGGGTGGAGGGTCCTACTTCTATCACTCTCTACCGTCACTGCAGCTGTGGTACTTGGAGAAGTCCCCACGTGCAAGAATGGTGATAGATGGAGAACTGTGACAGGGTTCTGGGGGCTGGCTGTGGCCTCGGCCACCTCTGCCTCTGGCGTTGGAGTTTAATTTTTTCTTTTCGGCTTTATAGGAAGGTGCAGATCAGAAACAGGTCACCCTTCCGAGGATGAAGCAGCAGAGGCCGACAATGAAGAAGAAGTGGATCCGTGTGACAGGGACAGTGAGAATGCCGTGGGGGCCAGCGTGGGGACCAGTGCCGGCTGGGCAGACGCCATGGCTAGAATCCTGAGCAAAAAGACCCCCGGAAGTAAACCCACCATTCTGGTCAAAAACAAAGAGCTGGAAAAGGAAAAGGAAAAGTTGAAGCAGGAGAGACTAGAGAAGAGAAAGCAGGTATGTCTTCCCGCTGTCCGCAGATTAGATGGTGTGTCTGGCTAGCTCTTGGTTCGCATCTGTCCCGGACGGTTCCTGGGGTGTTTGTTCAGTTCACATCGCAGCGTTTCACTTCTTTGTTTTCTATGGGGGGGGGAGGGTACCAAGGTTCTGTGCAGAATCCTGGTCTGAATTACTCCATGGGGTGTGTCCACCTTCTCATCACCTGAACAGCAATGGAAATGCAGACTCCCAAGGACGTGCATCCTTCTCAAGGCCAGTAACCGCCTGGGGCAGTGACCCCTGTTCCCGTTCGATTGAGCTGTCCATCGCCACCTTGGTTAGGTGCTGGACCAAGAGTCCTATTAGTTACTTTTTGCTAAAACCTACCTTGTGATAAAAATCTTTGAAGATGTCATTGTTAGGTATTGGTTGCAGTTTTGAAAACTGACTATTTCATGGGTAGATAACCTTGAATTCAGCATACCTGTGGGCAAACCTCTGATGATAGATGTTAGAGTAACACAGTCTGCTCAGTCAAGGTCAAAAGTTGGACTTAAGTTTGCTGTTGTGTATTCCAAAGATAAAGTAACAGTAATAAGATTTTTATATCCTTTGTACATGATGAAATATTTAGATGTCTAAAAGATTTGGTTACTAAAATAAATATTATTTTTTAATGTAAGAAAAATAACTTTCTAAAGATGTGTCAACAGTATAAAGTACTGATTTCCAAGAGGCACTTTATAGATGAAAATGAAAGAAAGTATTTGAATTGGTATATATTTCTTTTAAGTTCATTGTCCCGGATCTGTTTCGAGGTGAGCACTTTCCTTGTTCCGCACACTGGTCACTCCGAAAGTCTATGAAAACGGGCTTTTCCAGCGTTCCTCCTAGAAACAACGTACTCTGCCACTACTTTATAATCTCAGCACACTTCAAGATAAATCTTGACTCTCAGTCATACTGGTAACTTTTGAACTGAAAATCTGATTCTTTGTTTATTTGGCAAAGCTAGAAGGGGAGCTAAAAGTACCAGAATCCTTAAGTTCAAGCCCCAGCGAGAGTAAGGGATGCGTTTGGAAGCCAGGAGCTGAGTCTCCAGCGCTGCTCCGGGCCAGAGCTCTGCTGGACCCGTCCTGTCCACAGCGCGCGCACGGTGTGGCTGCCGGCACGCAACACGGCGGCCACAGGCGCTGTCCGTCTCTGGTTCGGATTAGTCTGTGGGAATGGTCGTCATTTCTTCATGTTAAATACTACCAGTTCCTGGGATAGCAAGTGCTTATTTCTAATTGTTACCACAAAAATGTATTTTAAAGTTTAAAAATATTTTGGATTATGCATGCCTATTATACTTTGGGTACTATCGATAATTCAGAATCCAGTGTTTTAAACTTAAAAGTAAGATTTTTTTTTAAAATTTCTGGCATAATCTGGTAATGAATTTCATGACAGTTAAAATAAATGATCTGATTTGGAGAAGAATCTTTTTCTTTAGAAAGGAATCGGGCTAATCTTTATAGCGAGAGCAGGACTTTTACTGTGATTAGACATTTTCATTAATGGGAAATGAGAGATCGGAACAGGTAAAGGAGCCTTGTCCGTGGTCCCTGTTACTGTTTTGGGTGCTCCCCAGCTGCTTGGTGTGGGTCATACTCAGTCTGGTTGCCGGTTGCTGCTCTGTGGACCTGGACCGGGACCTGGAGAGGCAGTTCTGTCACAGCAGGTGCCGGGACGTCCTGCTTGAAGACAGTGTTCAGTGAGATCATTTTACCTGTGAGGTTTCCTTATTTCCTGGCTCCCCTTCTACCTCTGCATGACGACAGAGAAGCAGTGTCTGGTTTGACTGAGCGGCCACGCGTGGCAAGGGTAGTGGTCAGATACACCGTGAAAGAAGACTTAAATGACTTGGGGAAGAGAACACAGTCACTGTGTACATCGGATGCATCTGGGTATAATGCCCTTCATTAAAACTCTGATGAGAATCCTTAATAATTCTGTCTGTGGAGGGAGTCAGTTCCTGCAAGGAAAGTGGAACTGTGTTTAAGCTTGTGGTCACCAGAGGGCAGTGTGGGTCTCCCTGGCGCTGCCGAGCAGCCGGGAGTGTGGCCCAGGCACACCTGCCTTGTCCTGTGGACCCGGTTCTGGCAGCCCCCCAGCCCTGCTGTCTGAGAGCCGACAGAAACCCCCTTGGTGCCTCCCTCATGACCCGCTGAACGCCAACCACAGGCTCGCTGAGCTGAACCCCTAAGAGCGTGGGTTTTTTTTTAAGTCCTCATGACACACTAAGGTGGAATGATTTTATTACCTTTGTCCTTATGCAGAGTATCATATCAAAGTGTGCTGCACTTTCATAAATGCCCAATACTCTCTCACGTAACCACCTTTGTACCACAGCTTGATAAGAAGCGGGAATGGGAAATGATGTGCAGAGTCAAGCCAGACGTTGTCCAAGACAAAGAAACAGAGAGGAATCTTCAGAGAATTGCCACGAGGTAAGACGGTGGCTGTGCACCCTGAAAACTGAGTGAGATGCTTTGAGAGCGATGCTCCCACTGGACTTCTCAGCAGCTCTGCCTTCTCAGCCAGCTGTGTGTTGAAGCCAACCTGGTCTCGGGAAGTAAGAATACACTGTGCTAAGTGTATATTTGGTACGAGCCTGTGTTAAATCATCCTGTTACGGTCACGGGGACAGCGTGGTCGGAATGCTCACTGTCTTTCTCTTGGGCTGGCGTCTGAATGGATGGTGCTCTACGACGATTTTTGTTTCTTGTGTTATATCTGTGGCATAACAAGTTACACACCACAGCAGCTCCATGCTGCACCTTCATTCTGCATTTTGTTTTATCATTGACAGACATTTGTGTGATGCCCTGTGTGTCCAGATAAATAGAATCTGTAGTCACTGGGTGGTCCTTGCCCACCCACCTGGAGGAATTATAGTCACCCTGAGCACACAGGTACGTCCTGTGTATTGGGGATACAGAACAGGAGAGTGGGTAGGAGCTGGGCAAGGTTCACAGAAGAGATGGCTGTGGGTTCCTACCTGAAGAACACAGCAGTGCATGTAGTGGGATGGCTTTGGCTTCCCAGCTACCTGCACTGTGTTGGTCATTTTCCAGTGCACCGGGTGCTGTGCGCTGAGGTGCTGAGTGTGATGGCTGAGTGTGAGCAGTAGGCCAGGCCCGAGGCTCGGCGCAGCTCTGACTGACGAGCTGTGTGTCCTTGGGCATGCTCCTTACTCTCCCTGTCTCAGTGTGTTTATCTGTAAAGCCAGGAGAACATTACAGCTCCCCCTAGGGTTTCTCTGAGAATTCAGTGAATTAATACATCTAAAGAACAGAAAAGTCCAGGGCTGGTGCAAGAGAGTAAGTACGGCTTCAGTTTTATACCCTGGGCACCTCCCGTTCCTCATCTTGGCCCCAGCCTTGCTGTGAAGGGTATGGGATTTCACCCTATCTGTAGCCGACTGCACTGGCCTGTCCAAGTTCTCGGACACTGACAGGAGACGAGACTTCCGGGGCAGACACCAAGGGCTTTGTACGGCGAAGCGGTGGCCAGTTTCCCGTTCCGCTGGCTCCCCTTGTCCCTCAGGGTAGCCCAGGTGCCCTGGGTGGCAGCCTGCGTGTCGAGCGGGTGGTGTTTCAGGAGAGGCACACTGGCCGGGAGTGCCATTGCTTGTGTGGTGGACCTAACAAGCCTGCCCGTTGGGGGAGACATCCCTCGTCTCTCAAGGGCGCACACTGCGCACACCGCCGGAGGGGCGGCCCTGGTGTCGGATAGCCCGGGAGGGAGGGACAGGGTGGTCAGGCCGGTGCTGGAGCGCCCCCCGGGGTTGCTGTGGCGGGGACTGAATAGACGAGGGAGTCCCCAGCTGGGAGGGCCACGTCCGGCGGTGCTGCCCAGTCGAGTGTCGCGGGAGCCGCGGTCGCGGTGTGCGTGTTCCGTGGAGCCGCACCGGGAAGTAGAGATGGGGCGGGATTAGCTTCAATAAGCATTCTAATGGCTATTATTTCACATGTTATCAATATGAAACAATTATTAACGAGAGTCTAAAATTCTTTTTCATACTAAGTCTTCAAATAGATAGTTTTAAAAATTGGATTTTGAAATTAGTTTTATGTCAGAGGAGTTGCAGAGTGTGTAGCTAACTACGTTCTAAGCTCCTTGGGTCTTACTTTCCCATTTACCCGTGAACGAAGGTCCGCAAGGCCGTCCTGGGGGCAGCGGCTGGACAGCGGGGCGCAGGCGCTGCTCCCGGTCACCGCTGCCTCCGCCGCCACGTGGTCGGTTCTGAGCAATCGATGTGGGTGTTAGAAGTAACTCTTAGTTCTAATTGCACAAAGGTTGATTTAGAAAGGCCAGAGCTAAAAAACAAACAGGTCCCATATCAACCCATATATATGGATTATCTTAATGAATTCATAAACTTTGTTCATTCACCGAAGCGGGTGTGCATTTTTCAGAAGTATCTCCCCCTCCGCTGTTGCCATGGGCATGGCTCCTGGGGGCCTGCCCCTGTCCTGCGCAGTGCAAACCCGTTGTCCTGTGCTCGGACTGCAGACTGCAGTCTGGTGCAGCTGCTCACTGCACTGCCCCCCCTCCACCTCCAGGGGCGCGGTGCGGCTGCTCACTGCACTGCCCCCCCTCCACCTCCAGGGGCGTGGTGCGGCCGCTCACTGCACTGCCCCCTTCCACCTCCAGGGGCGCGGTGCGGCCGCTCACTGCACTGCCCCCTTCCACCTCCAGGGGCGCGGTGCGGCCGCTCACCGCACTTCCCCCTTCCACCTCCAGGGGCGCGGTGCGGCCGCTCACTGCACTGCCCCCCCTTCCACCTCCAGGGGCGTGGTGCGGCCGCTCACTGCACTGCCCCCTTCCACCTCCAGGGGCGCGGTGCGGCCGCTCGCTGCACTGCCCCCCCTCCACCATCCAGGGCGCGGTGCGGCTGCTCACTGCACTGCCCCCTTCCAACCTCCAGGGTGCGCGGTGCGGCCGCTCACTGCACTGCCCCCTCCACCTCCAGGGTCGCGGTGCGGGCCTGCTCACTGCACACTGCCCACACCTGTACCACCTCCAGGGGCGTGGTGCGGCCGCTCACTGCACTGCCCCCTCCACCTCCCGGGGCGCGGTGCGGCTAGCTCACCGGACCGCACATGCCCCGCCCCCATCCACCCTCCAGGGAGCGCGGTGCGGCCGCTCGCTGCACTGCCCCCCCTCCACCTCCAGGGGCGCGGTGCGGCCGCTCACTGCACTGCCCCCCTCCACCTCCAGGGGCGCGGTGCGGCTGCTCACTGCACTGCCCCCTTCCACTCCAGGGGCGCGGTGCGGCTGCTCACTTGACACTGCCCACCCCTCCACCTACGGGGGTCGCGGGTGCGGCTGCTTCACTGCACTGCCCCCCTCCACCTCCAGGGGCGCGGTGCGGCTGCTCACTGCACTGCCCCCCTCCACCTCCAGGGGCGCGGTGCGGCTGCTCACTGCACTGCCCCCCTCCACCTCCAGGGGCGCGGTGCGGCTGCTCACTGCACTGCCCCCTCCACCTCCAGGGGCGTGGTGCAGCTGTTCAATGCCGTGCAGAAGCATCAGAAGAATGTTGACGAGAAGGTGAAGGAAGCTGGAAGCTCCATTCGCAAGCGCGCCAAGTTGATGTCCACAGTCTCCAAGAGAGATTTCATCAGCGTCCTGAGAGGGCTGGAGGGCAGCGCCAGCGAGAAGAGCTCAGCCGGAAGGAGCCCCAAAGCCGCGCAGGTGAGGCTGCAGGACGGAGACGTCCGCTTTTACGCCGAAGGGCTTGGGGTGAGGTGCACACTGGAATTACAGTGTTTTCAGGTTGCATCGTGATTTCTCGTGCCCACAGCCTAACTGAATTTGGATCCCTAAGTGCCGGTTGGTTGATTCAGGCTGGAGATGGCCAGTGATGGACATCATACCCCTGCTCTCAGAGAGCAGGGACACCAGAGGCAGGCCGTCGAGAGAGGGAGAGGTCCTGCCCTCGGTGCATCTGGGAGAGTAGACCTAAGGGAGTCGGACGGCCGCAGTCTGGTTGTTGACCCCCAGGTGCTCGTGGTGGAGCGGCTGCTGCACTGGGCGGAGGCGGAGCTGGGGAGGAGTGCATGTCGGCCTTGGGCCAGCCGCTCAGTGTAGGTGGGAAGTGATGACCCCAGACGCTATATTCTCCATGGTCTTCGGCCTCGTAACTGGTAACTGTGCTGCTCTGGCCCTTCTGACCCGAGGACCCCACTAGTTTCCTTTTTAATGTCCCAGGTGAAAGGTTCTGAAATGTGCTTTAATTTCAGAAGGACTATTTTTTGTTTTTGTTTTTTTTAAATAAAAGCAAAATACATAGTTGTTTTGGAGGCTCGATTTCTGCTGCCATCAAGGTACTTCAGTTGGGAAGTGGGAGTTTCATCACGGTGTGTGTGTGTGTGTGTTGTGGGAAAACAATTGAAACCCTGGCAAGAAAGCCCTGGCCAGTTTGGCGCAGCGGTTAGAGTGTCGGCCTGCGGTCCAGAGAGACCCGGGTTCGGTTCCCGCTAAGGGCACGTATCTTGGTTGCAGGTTGTCCCCAGCGCTGGATGTGTCGTGCGGGTGGCAGCCACTCGATGTGTCCCTTTCACATCAATGTTTGTCTCTTTCTCTTCTTCTGTCTCCCTCCCACCCTATCTGAACAAAAAAATGAAAAAATGTCCTCGGGTGAGGATTAAAAAAAAAAGAAACCCTGGCAAGAAAAGCCCTCAGGAATTCCATGCCAGCCTGGGGTGAAGTACTTTTCAAGTTCCTTGATTTAGTTGCTGGTTTACTTAATTTTGTCAAAAGGTTAAGAACTCAAATAGTGTATTTATATAACAAAGGTGCTCACGGCACTGAAGTTTTAAAATGTTCATCGGGCCATAGCCTGTTTGCTCAGCAGTAGAGCATCGGCCTGTGGACCAGTGAATCCCAGGTTCGGTTCCAGCCAAGGGCACGTACCTGGGCTACGGTTCATCCCCAACCCTGGTTGGGGTCGTGCAGGAGGCAACCAGTTGATATGTTCCTCTCATGTTGATGTTTCTCTCCCTCTCTCTCTACCTGAAGATAAAAAGAAAAATATCCTGTGAGGATTTAAAAAAAATTAAAATAAATAAAATATTCATTAGAAGGAGGTATAAACCCACGAGCGCGATGCTGGGGCTCTGTGCTTCCAGGAGAGAGGGGGCTGTGTCCTCACTGGTGCCACTTCCCTATAGGGACGGGGGACCCCCAGCGGCATCGCCCGAGGAGCTGGTGGGAAACCAGACAAGAAGCAACCTCTTCGTGGCACGGTGACCCTCTGCCCACTCGTGCTTAGGAGTGAGTGGCCTGCTAGTGAGCTGATTAATGTTCTGCTGGGAGCCCCTAAGCTCAGAATTGAGTCTAGTTGGTTCGGTTTGGGGGAACGCCCAAGTGTCAGTTTCTGTGGTGTGTCTTTCTGGAGAAGAGTCCTGCAGTCGGCCGCCTTGACTCGGGAAGGGAACCACCGCCTGCACGCGGGTCACTGGAGGGAGGTCGTGTGGACCGCGGAGAGGGGAGCACGCACCGTGTGCTACTGACGAGTTGAAGCCAGACTTTGTGCAAGGTTTCCACTGGTTTGAAGTTGCCAGTAGATCACTGTCAGCTATTGTTGGTTGTAATGAAACCACAATAATAATTTGCAGTAAAGGAAAACGCTAGCTAGCTTCTGTTAGAAAGGATTTCCTTGGTGTTCACAGGACAACAGATTTCAACAAAAATCGCTAGGTTGAAAAGTTACTGGAAGAGACTGGGTATTTAGTTTTTCTGCTTTTGTGATATGAGCACTTTAAATGTCAGACACAGACATAAGTTAGGGGGTGCTTTTCTCATCATTCTCATAAATGGCACCATGTCATTTCTTCAGAGCTGAGTGTTCAGCGGTGGGAAAGCTTTTGAAACACCTGCTTCTCTGTTGTCTCAGTAACGCTCAGCTCGGCTCAGGCCACACTCCTGGTCCGTAGACTTCTGAGCCTGCTCCAAAGGACGGAGCTGGGCACGGAGGGACGCCGCACTGGTCCCTGGGAGGTCCCCCGGGTTCGCGGGACTTCGTGTCTGATGGAGCTGGGCCTGGAGGGCGGGCGGGCCGAGGAGGAGGCTGTCCTGAAGCTGCCCCTGCGTGGCATGGAGACAGCGTGGTCACTGTCACATAGGAGCTGCTCCGACAGGAATGTATGGAATCCTGACTTTGTAAATAACTCAGCTTAATGTTTGTTTACTGCGAATGCCCAAACAGATTCGAGTTTAGACAAAAGGGAGACTCCCAAGTTTGAAAGGAGGGTGGGAATGGTGGTGGGAATACAGGGAAGCCGGCTTCTCACTGGGTCACTTCCCGACCAGGCTGTTGTTGACTTGGAACGCAGGGCGGGTGTGGGTGCAGCTCGGCGGCGGTGGCCCTCAGTGCACCTGTGTCGGGCAGCGTGGTGCGTGCAGCCCTTGACCTGGGGGAACAGGTAGAAACAAAGACTAGAACCAGTTACAGGGCAGCGGTAGAGATCTTCAGTCACTGCCCAGACACAGGGGACAGTGTCAGCATCTCGATCTTTGCTCCGAGGGTGAGGACCCTACGTAGTTCTCTTCTAGTGGGCTGGGACCTTAGGAATGGCCCCCGTGACTGGGAAACTAGACGTGGATCTGGGGACTGTCCGCAGAGTTCACAAAACCAAAGGCAAAGTGGTGGTTGCTGGGCATCCCGTCCCAGGAAAACAGTGAAGAGGGACTGGACGAATCGGTGAGGGAACAGAGAGGCGGAGTGGTCAGGACACTCAGGAATGCGCACCAAGAGTCTGTGAGAATCGGAGAGGCTGGGTTGTAGTTGATGCGGGGTCTTCCGTAGAACCTCGAACCGGAAGGTTCCGCCTTGGAAATGCTCGGCCCTTGATGGTCACTGGGGAGTTAGATGTCCTGCGTGGCCAGGACTCACCGATGCACTTTTTCCATTTCTGAAGACTTGGCCTGCGTTTCGCTTCTGTTGTTTTCTACCAGAATGCGTGTTTAGAAGAGGGATTCCCCACATGTCCGGGTCCACTTCACAGGCCAGATCCCCAGATGGGTCCCCCAGTTGTGGGGGAGCTTGCTAGCGACCATACGGTTGCAGATAGCTTCCTGAGAGTTCGCAACAGCAAGGTCGTAAGATGCTTTTAGCCAGAGTTCAGAACCTTTTTAATTTAGGTGAAACTGAATTCAAGTGAAAACTGAACATTCTTGCTGAAGAAAGGAAGGAAATAAAGTATTGCTGGTTACTAAATATAGATGAGATTATGCTGTTTATATTTTTAGGATTTGACTTGAATTTTCCCCCTTTAGACCTGCAGTGAGGGGGAGCGCTCGTTATTTGGTGTTGGCTAATGAGCAGTCCCAGCCTGTTCCAGTCCCTCTGCAGTAGCTGCCAGTGTGTGTTTGAGCCCGAAATGGCAGCTGATTAACATTTTTAAGGGTTGTCTTCATCTTTCAAATCGACACAGACGCTTCTGTGTGATCTTGATTAAATATTTGTATAAAACCAGGCCAAGGAGGGTGGGGACTATTTTGTTTCCTTGCCTCATGTGGTTCTCGTTAAGTTTTTGCATTTAATCAGTTTTACAGCTCGGTTGCTGTGGGCACGGAGGGCTGTCCTGTAGGTCGCTCTAGGTCACTGCGTCCATGCGGGCAGCGGTCCTGGCGGCTCCACAAGCTGCTGGATCGTGAGGGCTTCTGTCTGTACCTCGGTAGTGATGCCCTCCACCCGACTGGGGGCGATGCCTGCCCTCCCGTGCACCGTGCTGCAGTGACCCCTCCACCCGACGGGGGGCGATGTCCGCCCTGCCGTGCACCGTGCTGCAGTGACCCCTCCACCCGACGGGGGGCGATGTCCGCCCTGCCGTGCACCGTGCTGCAGTGACCCCTCCACCCGACGGGGGGCGATGCCCGCCCTGCCCTGCACCGTGCTGCAGTGACCCCTCCACCCGACGGGGGGCGATGTTCGCCCTGCCCTGCACCGTGCTGCAGTGACCCCTCCACCCGACGGGGGGCGATGTTCGCCCTGCCCTGCACCGTGCTGCAGTGACGCCCTCCACCCGACGGGGGGCGATGCCTGCCCTCCCGTGCACCGTGCTGCAGTGACGCCCTCCACCCGACGGGGGGCGATGCCCACTCTGCCCTGCACCGTGCTGCAGTGACGCCCTCCACCCGACTGGGGGCGATGCCCACTCTGCCCTGCACCGTGCTGCAGTGACGCCCTCCACCTGATGGGGGGCGATGTCCGCCCTGCCGTGCACCGTGCTGCAGTGACCCCTCCACCCGACGGGGGGCGATGTCCGCCCTGCCGTGCACCGTGCTGCAGTGACCCCTCCACCCGACGGGGGGCGATGTCCGCCCTGCCGTGCACCGTGCTGCAGTGACCCCTCCACCCGACGGGGGGCGATGCCCGCCCTGCCCTGCACCGTGCTGCAGTGACCCCTCCACCCGACGGGGGGCGATGCCCGCCCTGCCGTGCACCGTGCTGCAGTGACGCCCTCCACCTGATGGGGGGCGATGTCCGCCCTGCCGTGCACCGTGCTGCAGTGACCCCTCCACCCGACGGGGGGCGATGTCCGCCCTGCCGTGCACCGTGCTGCAGTGACCCCTCTACCCGACGGGGGGTGGGGGTGGGGGGCGACGTCTGCCCTGCCGTGCACCGTGTGGTTAGGGGTGACTGTGCAGTCACACTGGTGGGTCCCCGGCATTGCGATCAGAATCTCTGGAGGGCTTTTCACAACTGATTGCTGGGCTCTGCCCCTCTGGACTGGGGCCCGAGAGTCTGAGTTCCTAGTAAGTGATGGGGATGCACGGGCCTGACCGGGACACACTTGGAGGAAGACGGGGACTCAGGACTGCTAACAGCACACACAGCCCAGGAAAGCTTCGTAGTGTCGCTCTGTGCTGGACAGGCGAGAGAAGCTTTGTCCATCCCGTCATTGCTCTTGGTGCGTCTAACACAAGCGCACGTCGTAGCTGTCTCAGGACAAGCGAGGAGAGGGTCGTCTCAGCGTTTTAGTTGAAGTCTCCCTGTTGCTCCTGCTTTCTTCCTGACCTGCACCCTCCCTTCCCGCAGTTTCAGTGACCCATGGTGACTAAGGTCCAGAAATGCTGGCTGGAAGGCCCCTCCTCACCACGTGGGCACGGGCCTCACACGCGCTTTCTCCGGGGCCGTTGTCCTTGCTCTGTTCTGGTGGCCATTTCTGCCGGCCTCTCGCCACATTCAGGGCATGAACTTTGCCCTAAACAGTGTGTACAGAATTCGGCGCTGTCTCAGTTTCAGGCATCCACGGGAGTCTCGGAACGTATCCCCGAGGATAAAGCTGCTGTGCTTGTTTAAGGTTTTGTCCCCGCTCGTCCCTCCCTCCTTCCTTCTGGTGCCCGTGGCCTTCTTCGTGCCACCCAGTAGGGGAGGGACTCAGAGCCCAGCAGAAGGGGCTGGCTGTCAGCCCAGCTCTCCTGTGGGGACACTGCACTGGGGACGGTGACGTGGGGTCTGCCGCTCCCGGGCGCTAGCATGTTGATAGCATGTTGGATGTAGTTAGCTAAGCATGGAGGCTACCAGGGACTGCGTGTTCACATGTGAACACAGACGTCGGTGTCAGGACAGGGCTTGGCCCGTCAGTAGTGTGGGACAGGTGTCCAGTGCTCTGGAGTTCAGCTCAGAGCGATGCAATGGCAGGACAGGTGTCCAGTGCTCTGGAGTTCAGCTCAGAGCGATGCAATGGGCAGGACAGGTGTCCAGTGCTCTGGAGTTCAGCTCAGAGCGATGCAATGGCAGGACAGGTGTCCTGGCCTCTGCTTCTCAGTGGGCTCTGCTCACCGGCCGGAGGGGAGAGGGGGCTGGCAAAGACAGCTTGGGTTGAATCAGGGAAAATGGCCTTGTATCCCTCCAGTTGGGTAACTGGATCTAATCCGAGCAGAAACCGTGTTAGGGGCGCGGTTTGATGTGTAGGAATGAGGGGTGGGGTGGCGCTAGCTCCCCCGTGGAGCCTCCTAACTGGCCTTCCTCCTCCTTTGCTGCCGAGGCCTGTGGCACGGGGCTGTTGTGGGGCCGTCTCCACCCAGCACAGATGGTTCTCATTTGTTTCTGTGTGTTGGTTTGTTGGGTACTAAGTGCTGTTCGCCGTCCTGCGTGTTCCGCAGCCTCTGCTCATGTTCGCACGCCGTCCAGGCCGCAGGCCGTGTTTAGGCACCAACCCTGCTTCAGTCTTCTATCCCAGGAAGGCAGGAGGAAGGACAGGGGGACATTTTCCTTTGTCATGGCATCCTATTTTTTTTTTTTTAATTCTTTTCTTTATTGATTTTAGAGACAGAGGGAGAGAGAAAGAGAGATAGAAACATCGATGAGAGAGAACATTGATCAACTGCTTCCTGCATGCCCCCCATTGGGGATCTGGCCCACAACCTGGGCACGTGCCCTGACCAGGAATCGAACCGGCAACCTCTTGGTGCATGGGTCCACACCCAACCACTGAGCCACACCGGCTGGGCAGCATCCTATTATTTTAAATGTTAACGATTGTTTCAGTGCTGTGTCTGTCTTTTTTTTTTTTTTCCTTTATCCTCACCCAAGGATATTTTTTCATTTATTTTCAGATAGAGAGGGAGGGGAAGAGAGAGAGAGAGAAACAGCCTGTGAGAGAGAGACATCAGACTGGCGGCATCCCACACAACCCTGACCAGGGTTGGGGATGAACCACAACCGAGGTACGTGCCCTTGACCAGAATCCAACCCGCGACTCATTGGCCCACTGGTCGATGCTCTACCACTGAGCAAAACTGGCCAGGGCAGGGCTGTGTCTTTTAAATTAAAAGGTAGCTTCAACAGAATTAAGTAAGTAATGTCTTGGAACCCAGCAAATGTCTAATATCTTTTCTCTTCAAAATTGCTTTTTTAGCCCTTGCTGGTTTGGCTCAGCAGTTAGAGCATCAGTCCATAGACCAAATGGTCAAAGATTTGATTCGGTCCAGGGCACGTACCTGGGTTGCAGGCTTGATCCCCAGACCCAATTGGGAGGCAACCACTTGATGTGTCTCTCTCACTTTGATGTTTGTCTCTCTCTCTGTCCCCCTCTCTAAAAATCAATGGAAAAATATCCTTGGTTGAGGATTAACAGAACAAAACAAAAAATTGCTCTTTAGCCCTGACCAGTGTGGCTCAGTTGCTTAGGTGTCATCTCATGCACTGAAGGTTGCTGCCCCTGGTTCAATCCCCAGTCCGGGCACATGCAAGCCAGGGTTTGGGGCTCAATCTCTGGAGGGGGCGTGCAGGAGCAGCTGACAGGCATTTCACTCTCATGTCGATATTTCTCTCTCTCTCTCTTTCTGTCTCTCCCCCCATTCCTCTCTCTAAAAATCAATTAACATTTTTTAAAACAAAAATTGCCTTGTAACCCCTATAAAGATAATTTTCTAACCTGATGTCATGGGATCGTGCATATTTAGGGAGATTTTTCCAACACTATACTTCTGTGAATGGAATAAATAGAAAAGCATTGACTGTTAGCTCTGTGGAGACAGGAACTTTGTTTTGAACAATGCGTGATACACAGTTCTCAGTAAGTAATTGTGGAATGAGGGAAAGAAATCCCCGAGTTTGTAGTTCTACATTTGTTGTATTATCTAGTTGATACCACAAGGTGGTGCTGTTGTACCATGAAATGAGAGGTGGTCCTAGGCCTTTATATGTGTAGTTTTACATAAATCCTATGAAGAAATAAATGAATTGACTGCCTCTGCTTATTGCTGCTCTTTTATTTATTTATAATTTTAGCATGTGACTAGTCTTCTGATTGCATGATTAGGTCAGGCAGTGAGATCATAACATTTGGTTCACATTTGCATCGACTGTTAAATGAGATAGCATCTGTGAAAGCCCAGCACCGCGCCAGCCAGCTTCCTTTCGCTCCTTTACTTTGGGTTAAAGCCTTTATTAAATTTCTGTTTGTCTTAAAATAATTTATCAAAAGTCTTCTAATAAATTACCTGTGAACTGGAAATAATATTGTAAGACTGTTTGGTCAAAAGATTTTAAAAATTATACCAAGCCTAGATCTTACTATGTTTTCTCCCCATTGCAAAAGAAAAAAAAATTATTTTGCTTCCACGTTTCTTCTGTGAGGTTAAACTATTTTATTAGCATACAGCTCTGTTACGTATTTCTGCATACATGATCACAGTGTGTGAGTAAAGCCAGTCTAGACTTTGTTTGGTTTTTCTCCCATTTAAAACGAAGTGTTGACAAGTTGTTTTGTGGCCTTTCTCAGCTTCCCTGTGATTGAATTGGCTTTTGAATGCTTTGATTCTGTGGTTGTCCTCAGGCTGAAGCCAGTGAGGAGGGTCCGGGATGGACCATCCTTCGCGACGACTTCATGATGGGCGCGTCCATGAAGGACTGGGACCGAGCGAGCGACAGGCCGGACAGCAGCCCGCCAGCGTCGGGCAGTGAGTCCGACGCCCAGAGCTAGGCCCGCGGGCAGCACCGCGCGCTGCTCCCGAGAAGCTTGTGCTCCACCCTGGGGACTGGTCGGGACCACGGCTGGGGAAGCCGCAGCCACGGACTGTTTTCCACCGCGAGGTCGCCCTGTTCGCGTCAGCTTGCACACGTACGTGTTCAAACTTTGTATAACTTTAAGCATTGTTCCTCAAAACATTAGTAAGAAGAAAGTTGTTTACTCGTCCAGCGAGATGCTGATTTGCCACGATCGTTGGTTTAGTGTTGGTCATGGGTATTGGTTTTGTTTAGTGTGACCAGTGTCCTTCATGCTTAAAATGAACTCCTTGAAGTTAATATGGTTCAGTGGACAGACCGTGTATGATTCACAGTTTTGGGGGGCAGGGTTGGTGTTTGTTTTGGTGAGCTACTGGAAACTTATGTTGGAAAATTAAAAATCACAGTGTTAACTATTTTGAGTGATTTTATTGCTTTAAATATTCTGGCAAAAGTGATAGAAGAAATGTATCAAATCCTTATTTATATTACTTCCTTTTATATGCTAAGTAATAAATATAAACGACGACTGAAGATATTTCGAGTGTTGGTTGTTTTTGCTCTCGTGTTTCACTTCTGCGACAGGCGTGTTCTTAGCAAGCACATCTGACGCGCCCTCGTCCTCCGTCTCTGGACTGAGTTACGTCCCTTCCCTCCCACGTCGACTGAGCGGGGCAGGGGGGGCGGGGGGCTGTCCCCGGTGGTCTGCACCAGAACGCAGTGTCTGATTTGAGGCTCGGTTCCCTGCTGTTGCCGTGAGGATGACGAAATTCCGTGACAGCCCGTGTCCTGCCGTCAGGTCGAGAAGACAGAGGCCGTGTGTCACTCCGTCATCTCTGAGGCTGCACCCCGAGCCGGGGTAGGGAGCTGCTGGTAGGCGGGAGCTCCTCCTGGACTGAAGGGCTCCACCCTGCGACCGCCTCCCCGTGGTGCAGACGTGGTGCAGACGGACCCTCCCCGCCCTCAGGCGCACAGTGCCTCCGCTCTGCCGAAGGGAGACCCTCCCGGAAACGCCGCTAGAGAAGGGACGGTGCATTTCCGCCCACGTGAGTGTTGCAGGTGTCATGTGACTGAAGTGAGCCGAGTCCGCGGCCGGCCTGGTGCTGTCGTCACAGGAAGGCGTGCGCCCAGGACACCGCGTGGGTGACCCGCAGAGCGCGTCTGTCCGGGACCCCGCCGTGCAGCTGCGGTGTCGAGTGAACCCTGGGACAGACGTCCCTCAGCAGGAGCGCAGGAGGGCTGAGCGTCCCCGCACAGCGGGACAGGCGAACGTCCCGAGGGAACCGCCACGTAAGTCATTTTGAATAAACAAAATATTTTTGTTGTGTAAAGACTTTTTCTCCCCAGAGTTAAAAATCACACTTTGTATGTTGGTCATTTCTCTCTCTGCACAACACTGAGCCTGTGAAAACTGAATAGTACGTTTGGGTGACAGAAACTGGTGACCAGTGCCCAGCCAGTGTGGCTCAGTGGTTGAGCGTCGACCCTGCACCAGGAGGTCACTGGTTTGATTCCCGGTCGGGGCACATGCCCAGGTTGTGGGCCCATCCCCAGTGGGGGGCATGCAGGAGGCGGCCAATCAATGTTCTCTCTCATTGATGTTTCCGCCTCCCTCTCCCTTCCTCTCTCTCTAAAATCCATAAAGAAAACAAAAAAATTTAAAAAAATCCAGCTTCTCATGTATGAGACGGTTGTTTTTGAAACAGACACTCATTGTTTAGTTCTGAGTTTTAGAAAAATTGAACAAGATTTTCAGACTGAAGGTAAGGAGGAAGAGAATATTTGCAGATTTTTCTTTTAGAAATTATTTCAAAATAAAATTGAGTTGCTACTATAAAAAAATACATCTTGTTATAGGCTATGAAGCTTACATAAATACATAAAGGAAATTGTATCGTGAAGACGGGCTGTTTTTATGTGTACTGCTGTTTCTGCATCTTGGCTGGAAGATATTTAAGCAAAATGCCACGTGTGAATATGAATCTAAGGCTGAGCTGCTTATTTTAGAAACTGTACATTCAGGTGAGTGGTGTAAAGTCTTCGGCTCTGTTACCTCTACCCTAAATACTTAAATTCTTCTGACATCAGATAGCTTAACCTGCAGCGATTTTGTCTTCCTGCATTGTCATTGAGTTCTTTGAGGAGAGAACTAAGAAAGAACTGCATTTCTAATACCCCCCAAATGTGTCTAAATACAACAGTATTTGGGTTTGTTTTTGGTAACTATTTAGAGCAATATAATAAAAAAGTTATTTTTATTTGTTTACAAAGATTTATGCAAAATAGTAACCAGGTAGCTAGTGACTAGATGTTAACTCGCTCCCGTATCCGAATATTTAGGTGGCCAGGGTGAATGTCGCAGTGTTTAGCACTGTTTAGTATTGGTTATTAACTGTTGTCAGCGCTGAAATCTCAGAGTCGAAGATAATGCCTGTTTCAGACAGAAAGTGGCAGGCATCTTAGCAGCTGAGCACTCTGACTTGGAGTGCGGGTTATTTTCAGGTCACCCGAATTCCTCGTAGATCAAGTGTTATTCTCCTCGAGCAGTGCACCTTGGAAACGCTTTGAATGGAAACTCAGAGCCTCACCTTTAGTGCCGATGTGACTCCGCGGGAGGTTTGGAAGGTTATTTGAGGATAAGTCCAAGTTCTTCAGAATACTTCGTGTCTTCCTCAAGTGGGTGTGAAGAGCGTGTCTAGGTTCTGGAAAACCTCCTGGGGCTGTGTGTCCCTGTTCTGCACATGTGAGCATGTTTCATAACCCAGTGGCCCCAATGGAACCGATCTGCCACCTGCCTGGTCTCCAGGACGTGTGGGGACAGTGCTTAACGAGGAAGGCGTTGGCCGCTTACATGTGTCCTGTTAGACACCGTACCAGAGGTTCTCGGGTCACAGTGCGAGGAGAAACACGGACAGACGAGACCCCCGCTGTGTTGCTAAGGACTTGAAGGAGTCCACAGGCCTCGGAAAGTGCCCATCAAGGAATCTTCAAAGAGCATAAATGTTTCTCCAGAAGAGAGAGGAGGAGGTCAGAGAAATAAGTCGATACTTTTGCATCCTTTTTGGACAACTTCCTTCTTTTTCCCCATAGATATTATTTTTGTTGTTATTTTTATTACAGGTTTTTGTTAATATATGTGTGTGTCGTTAGTGAAATAGAAGTTGTGTTTCCCCCTCAGAGTACCATTCTTGTTTTGTATGCTGATACGTTTTTGCCACATGAATTCACTTTTAGAATAAACATGTAAACAATCAGTACTTAGGATTTTGAACATTTGTAATTTCTTAAGGAAGTGTGTGTGTGAGAGAGAGAGACCAGGCTGCGGCACCGGAGGCCCATGGACGGACGGCAGAAGCAAGCATTTACGTCTCGTCCTGGGGGCTGGGGGGACCGGGCGGGGGCGGGGGGGGCAGACCTGGTCCCTGGTGAGCATCCTCTTCCTGGTTCGCAGACAGCTGACTTCCTGCTGTGTCCCGCTTGTGGAGAGAGCTCATCTACCTCGGTGCCCAGTCATCAGGACACGATCCCATTCATGGGGCTCCGCCTCCCAACACTGGGCGTCAGGGCTTCAGCGTAGGAATTGGGGGGGGGGGGCACAATGTATAAAACAGCAAATTGTACACTTGAAACATTTTTAAAATCTCGCCCAAGTACATACTTGGAGAGGAAGGAAGGGGAGAGAGGAGCATGGATTGGTTGCCACCCAGGCACGTGCCCTGACCGGAGGCCCGCAGGCAACCTTACCAGCTGAGCCGCGTTGGCCGGGCACGAATTGTACAGTAACTTAGATGTGGAGTAACTTGAGTCACCATTGTTTCTTGACTTAAATTTCTTAATAAAATTAAGTGTTTCACATAAGTTGAGCACCCATTCCAGGAACTGCTAGGATCATTTGAGGGATGGTATTATTCATGGTAAAATAAAGGACAGTTTGACTCCTGTAGACACCAAACAGTTGACTCCTCCTTTTTATTTGCTTATTTTTTTAATTAATTTATTTTTGTTACAGATGTTTCTCCCTTTTCCCCCATTGACATCCTCCTCCCCATCCCCCCCTCGCCCCCAGTTTTGTTGTCTTGTCCATCGGTTATGTGTACGTGCACGTAAGTTCTGTGGTTTATCTCTTCCCTCCCCCCCGACCCTCCCCTACTCTCTCCTCCTCTTTAAATTCCTGGAGTAAGTCCTCACTGTACAGTTTGAAGAGTGTGGCAATTTGGATGAACAGGAGTAACTTGAAATAAATCAGTTACACACCACAACTTGAAAGATAACCTGTTGCCCTGGCTGATTGGCTCAGCGGTAGAGCGTCAGCCCGAGGACCAAAGGGTCTCGTTTCAATTCCGGTCAAGGGCACGTACCTGGGCTGCAGGTTTGGTTCCCGGCTCTGGTCGGGGTCATGCGGGAGGCGACCAATCCATGTGCCTCTCTCTCATCATCAAAGTTTCCCTCTCTCCCTCCCTTCCACTCTCAGTGGAAAACTATCCTCAGGTGAGGATTAACAACAACAAAGATAACCTGTTAAAGTATTATAATGAAATCTAGGTTTTATTTATTTATTTATTTATCCTCACCCGAGGACATTTTTCCATATCTTGTTCAGATAGAGGGGGAGGAAGAGAGAGAGGGAAACATCCACGTGAAAGGGACACATCGAGTGGCTGCCACCCGCACAACCAACCAGGGCCGGGGACAAACTGCAACCGAGGTACGTGCCCTTAGCGGGAACCGAACCCGGGTCTCTCTGGACCGCAGGCCAACACTCTAACCGCTGAGCCAAACTGGCCAGGGCCCAGGTTGTATATTAATAGGGGTCCCAGGAACTTGCTTAGAGCTGTGACTCTGGGGACCTTCACTTCAGTTTTCCTCGATGCACCGCGCAGGGAGCTGACTGCACTCTGCCCCTCCTTACATTCGTACCTGTTAGGGTCCAGGTGACGCCGTCTGCACGCGGGGGGGTTAGTTACAGGTCGTCAGTTGGGCCCTCAGATAGGAGTATGAAGACTGTTTCAGGCGAAGGGCAGGAGAACAAACTTTGGAAACAGGAGAGAGCTGCCCCACACCTCCAAAAAGCCCTCTTTCCTTCCCCAAGAGAAGGGGGGCCGCCTGGAGGGAGGAGTCACCTGCGCGTGCAGCCAAGGTAGGGCCCGGCGGGCTTGTCTGAACCCTGAGAATGTTAGTCAGCAGGCTGGGGGAGCAGCTGCGGAGGCCGCGTGGGTGGAGCGGGCGACTCCGAGCAGGGTGGACGCCGAGCCTTGTGACGACTGGTCGGCGATCCGTGCTGCGGGCCAGCGCCTTCCGTGTAGCCGGACGTGCATCGGTCCCAGCACCACCCTATCCCGCCTGAGCACGTGGAAGTTGCAGATTTGGGGGCGGGGAGGAAAGAAAACAGAGCACAATGAGCATTATTATTATTATTAGCACAGCCAGTTGAAACTGATGAGGTGCGAACCACATTTGTATAAATAACAGTTCCTCTAACCCCGGAATCCTTACCCTGCGCCTTTCATGCAACCAGTTCAGACACATCAAAGCGAGTTCGGCGGGTGTGTGTGGGGTCAGGACCCCCGGGCGCTGGCGGGGAGACAGCTGAGACCTGGGCAGCTGTCGGCTCGCCCTCTGGCTACTGGACAGTTGCTGCCCTGCGCTTGCAGACTCGGGCTTCAGGCTTCGGGAAAAATGCGTCCCCGCCCACGGAACGGACGCAACCGGCGGGGTGGTCGGCGGCCCTCAAAGGCCCTCAAATCCCCCGCGAGGTGGCTGCACAGCAGTCACCCCGCAGCGCCGAGGAGCACCGGGCACGACAGGGCCTCTGCGTCACACTTGTCTTGCACAAGGACACAAGGCTCTCGAGTGTATTATAATGGCTCAGAGTCCCCAAG